AACCCTCCTCTACTACCCCACACCCTCCTCTACTACTCCCACACCCTCCCCCACTACCCTGTACCCTCCCTCTACTACCCCACACCCTCCTCTACTACTCACACCCTCTCTACTACTCTACACCTCCCCCACTACTCCCCACACCCCTCCCCCTCCACTACTCCCCACACCCTCCTCCCCCCACTAACCCTCTACCACCCCACACCCCCCCACCACCCCACACCCTCCCCCACCACCCTGTACACCCTCCCCCACCACCCTACACCTCCCCCCACTACCCCACACCCTCCCCTCTCACCACCCTCACCTCCCCACTCACTCCCCACACCCTCACTTCCACCCTCCCTCTACTCACCCCACACCCCCTCCACTCCCCACACCCTCCCTCTACTCACCCCACACCCTCCCTCACCAACACCCCTGTACCCTCCCTCTACTACCCCACACCCTCCCTCTACTACCTCCTGTACCTCCCTCTACTACCATACCCCTCTACTACTCCTACACCCTCTCTAACACCCTACACCTCCCTCTACTACCCCTACACCCTCCCCTCTACTACCCTACACCCTCCCCACTACTCTACACCTCCCCCACTCACCCCTACACCTCCCTCTACATCTCCCTGCAACCTCCCTCTCACCCTACACCCTCCCCACCCCCTGTACCTCCCTCACTCACTTCTACACCCCTCTACTACTCTACACCCTCCTCTACTACACTCCCCACACCCTCCCTCTCACTACCTACACCCTCCTCTACCACCTCTACACCCCCCACTACTCTACACCCTCCCCCACTACCCCACACCCTCCCTCTACTTCACCCCACACCTCCCCACTACTCCTACACCCTCTCTACTACCCCACACCCTCCCTCTACTCCTAACCTCCCTCTACTACCCCACACCCCCTCCCTCTACTACCCCACACCCCTCCTCTACTAGTCTAAACCCTCCCCACACCCCTGTACCTCCCCCACTACTCCACACCTCTACCCCACACCCCCTCTCTCTACACTAGTCTAAACCTCCCTCTACTACCCTTGAACCTCCCTCTACTACCCCACACCCTCCCCCTCCTCACTCCAACACCCTCTCACTCCCCACACCTCCCCCACTACCCCACACCTCCCCACCACCCCACACCCTCCCCCACACTCCCACACCCTCCCTCTACTCACCCCACACCCTCCCTCTACACCCCAACCTCCCCCACTACCCAACACCTCCCTCTACTCCCTCTACACCTTCCTCTACTCACCCCACACCTCCCCCACTACCCCACACCTCCCCCACTACCCTCCACCCTCCCTCTACTACCCCTCTCTCCCCCCACCACTCCCACACCCTCCCTCTACTACCCTACACCCCTCCCCCACTACTCCCCACACCCTCCCTCTACTACCCTACACCTCTCCCTCTACTACCCTACACCCTCCCTCACTACTCCCTACACCCTCCTCTTACCACTCCACACCCTCCCTCTACTACACCCTACACCCTCCCCTCTACTACCCCAACACCCTCTACTACCCTACACCCTCCCTCTACTACCCTACACCCTCCCTCTACTACCCTACACCCTCCCCTCTACTCTACCCTCCCTCTACTACCCTATACCCTCCCTCTACTACCCTATACCCTCCCTCTACCACCTAATACCATCTCACACTTACATTACACCACACCTTCTCTCAACCACCGTACCGTACCATTGCCACATTTCTGCAACGTTCTTGATTGCATCTCTTTTATTTTCTTAAATTTCTAATTAATTTTCTCAAAGTAATTCCTGTATTTCTTTCAGTGTCTCTTATTTATTTGTTTATTTCCTCTTATTTACTTATATTCTCCGATTTACTTAGTTATATTCTGCTCTGTGGGTTAACCTGGGAGAGCCACATCCTTGTCTATTATTACACACTTGTAATTACTGTACTTACATTTCAGAGCTGCCACCATCCAGGCTTTATCTTTGGAATATAACCTCCTCAATAAACCTCTCAGTTAAGTTGGTAGCGTGAGATGCAGGGGAGGTTAAGCTGCGGTTACACTGGAGATTGTACCCAGAATTAATCCACCGGAGCGTTGATTTTTCAACGAACTCCTAAAGTTTTTTCTACAGTGACAACTTATTTGTTGTCCAAAGTGGGGCGATACTGAGCATCTGTGAATCCACGGTACAGTGGGTTGAAATTTGTTAGTCTAGCCAGGGGTGGCCAATCTTTTGTGTGATGTGATCTACTTTTTCCACAGTTACCCTGACGCGATCTACCAGCCTAATATTCACCCCCCCCCCTCCTTCCATTGCCATAAAATACGCAGATTCGGAGAGCTAAACAAATAATATTTTTCAATAATTGTTATGATATATCATTAACAGGACAAAATCATAAAATTACTTTACTAATAAGACGGTTAGCTCTGCATGTTGTCTGCCAGCTTTGTGTAATTAGGACTGTAGGTGGTGACTGCTAGCCTCAAGCAAGCATCCATGTGTTCATTGTTGATCGGTATTTGGATTTGATGTGTTTCATGTGTGAAAATGTTGATTCACAAAGGTAGGTTGATCCAAAAAATGCTGTTAGGTACGTGGCACATTTTCTGACATTGGGATATTTTTCTTCAGAGAAGGTTCCAGAAACTTCCTCCTGTTGCCATGGATTTGATCTGAGTATCATTTTTAAGCTTCAGAAGCTCATTTTCGACTTCAGATATGGCAATGTTAAATACTGATGCCATTCTAGATGCAATATCTTCAACATTTGTGATTTTACCAAATGGAAAACACATATATGTTGCAACAGGTTCTATTGTTGCTATATCTTGAAACCGTCTGTCAAAATATGAAGCAAGGTTTTGTACCTGTTCAATATATCGAGCACTGACAAACTGGTCACAGTCTTTTCCTTGGTTTTCTAGTTCAGACATCATATTTCTGAAGTTTCGTAGTTGATGTTGATGCAGCTGCGGAGACACTAGTTTTAGTTTCTGCTTGAAAGCAGCCACAGGACTAATCATGTCAACTATAGTTTTATCTTTCCCTTGCAGATCTAAGCTTAGTTTATTCAGCATAGCAGTCATGTCAACTAAAAAAGCTAAATCTAACAGCCACACTTCGTTGTGATCAAAAGGCCAATCTTTTGAGGCCAAAAAAGAAGTTAGGAACCTATCATCACTCCTGCACAGGACAATGAACCCACTGATTCGGCCAGCCATTGCAGGTGCCCCATCAGTATTTTTAGATACGAGCCTACTTACTGGCAACTGTGTACTATTAACAAAATCACTGAAAGTCTGAAATATGTCTTCATCCCGAGTTTTTCCTTTTGATGGTAGAATTTTCAGCAGTTTCTCTTTGGTACTCATGTCTTTAAACACCATTCTCATGAAAATACATAATTGTGATGTATCGACCACATCAGTAGACTCATCAAATTGTAATGAAAAGGACACACACTCACGTATGTCTTTATTCAGTTGTTCACCCAAATCCTCAGCCATTTACAAAACAGGATCTTCAGGGGCTCGGCAAGCTCGTTGCACAACTCTCTTAGCACTCTAGGATGCACCATGTCAGGGCCGGGACTCATATGGACCTTTAGCGTTGACAGTTTATTTCTAATACCCTCTTCTGTGAACCCAATGTGGGTCAGTGCTGTGTCGAACTGTCTGTCCCCAAATGCAGGAAGGTTAATCGCATCCTCTCTTGTGAACACCGAGGAAAAGAAGCTGTTCAATGCCTCCGCTTTATCCTGGTCAGAATCTGCATAACTACCATCTTCAAGCCTCAGGTCTGATACTCCTACTCGCGTTTTTAATTTTGACTTTGCATAGCGGTAAAACGCCTTTGGATTTTACTTGACCTCGCTTGCAACCAGCCTCTGGAACTCCTTTTCAGCCCTTCTACATTCTATCTTTGCTTGGTTTCTGGCTCTTGCATACATCCTACTGTCCTGCTCATCGTTTGACCGAACCCACGTCTTGAATTTCTGGGTTTTCTTCTTAACTTTGTTTACCGCCGCATGGTTCATGTGTAGGGAGCCCCTTGTATTCCTAGAGGCACTGGGTTTGGTCTCGGGTATATATTTATCGATCAAATGGGTAATTTTACTAGTTATGATATTCAGCGTGGTGTCTGCGTTCTTGTGCCTTAATGAGTCAGGCCAGTGGATAGATACCCTTCATCTCTTCCCTCATCCCGTTGTAATTTCCCTTGTAATATTTGCACCTTGGCCTGGCCTTATCTTGAACTAGGTAACCGTTAAATCTGAATGACAACACTATATGGTGACTGGTGCCAACTGGGGCAAGGTGTTCCAGTTTGGCCACCATACCCTCCTCGTTTGTTATGATGAGGTCTAATGGCTTGGGTGTTTGCTCCCCTCTGTAATGTGTCGGGTCTCTCACATGTTGGAACAGAAAATTATCTCTCAGAGTTTCTACAAAAAGAGTAGCAGGGTTATTCAAGTCATTTGGGGTGAACTCGTTTCTCCAGTTGATGTCGCCCATGATAAGGAGGTGACTAGGGTTGAGCATCGCCGCATTGTTCATTAAGACTCTAAGTTCCTTTGATTTAGTGGACCGCAGTTTGGGGATCTGTAGATACACCCGACAATAAGTAAGTCCCCCTCCCTTTAGTTTAATTTTACACCACTTGGACTCTTCAAAAACATACTCTCCCTGTACCCTTGCCTGGCTGGCTCTAAGGTCTTGCCTAGCATAGATAACCACACCTCTTTTACAAGTATCTGAGAATGGTTCGTAAATAAGTCACATCCAGCAATACTGAACTCACATTCCTCTGGGTCGATTCTCCTGTTCTTGTACAACAGTTCTATAACTCCTACAATATCTGGTTGGTATACCTTCACTAGTGTTTCAAACTCCTCTCTCTTATCAAGGAACGTGTCAGTATTAGTGTACATGACATTCAAGCCAGAATTTGTTCTCGGTGACGTCTCTGCTCTTAGTAGTAACCCCACCCCCCCATTCTCAGAAGCCGCAGCCAAGCAAGATGCCCAGTTGACTGGAAGACCTCATACGAGTCACCAGTGCCCAGGTCAAACAACCCACAATCCTTAAATGAGCTACAACCCATTGCAATCACCCCAAAATCCAGCTTAATCTGTGATATTGCAGGCGCCATAGATTCTCTGCAATTTGGCAATATGAAAACTTCCTCCACCACTCACTGTCTTGTCAGCTTTCTTGACTACATATACTGCCATCTGGAAAAACGAAAAACGTCTGTGGCTGTCGTCTTCATTGACTTCATCAAAGCATTTGACCTAGTCGATCACAATTTAATCAACAAAGCTATCGACCTCGGGTTTCAAAGTCTTATACCATGGCTTACAGACTTCCTTTGTGACCGACGCCAAGCCATACGCTTCCGAGGGGCTGTCTCCACTTATCAATGATGCCCTAAGAGAGACCCTGCTCGCTGGAAATATGTCGACGACTCCACCATTGGGATTAGTGTCAACAACTCGGCTCCTGACTACACCGCCCTCCAGGATTCATTGAAGTCTCCAAAATTGGGCCACCAATAACTACATCACCATCAACCATACCTAGACCACGGTTATGCACATCAACCTCTCCTCCGACGTTGTCCCACCCTTTCCATTACTTTAGGCCCCAACACACTCCAATCTGTAGACTCCACTAAGCTCCTCGGCATCATTACAGATAACAAACTAAATTGGAAAACACATGTCAGTGAAGTTGTAAAATCCTCCAGTTTCCGTCTCCACCTCCTCAAGTCCCTCGGAGATCCTGTTCCCGAGCTCCTCAGGGTTCACTCAACATTCATACTTCCCAAGCTCACCTATGCCTCCCCTACCCGGTCTTTCTCCCTAAATGCCATACAACGTAAACACCTAGAAAAAGTGCAAGAGGGCATGCAAGATTATTCTCTCCCCTTCCTACTCCACATATCAAGAAGCCCTCAACACACTGACCCTCTTGGCTTTCTCTGACCATCACCATGACCTCATTTCCAAATTTGATGAGAAGCTTCTGCGCCATCCTCGGCACCGGCTCCTACTACCACCCGAGATCCCTCGTCCACGAATTGCTGTTCGACACCACAACCATATCCAGCCCCCTATCAGCACGTACTGATCGCTATAAGAACAGGCCAGTCCCAACCATTGTAAAAATTATCAACAACTCATAATCAACCAGTGTATTCACTCCCAGTCATCTTACCTTTTTGCATTGTCACTATGTTGAAATGCCCTGTAATATGACCTTCTCCCCACCTAGTTATTATATATGATATTTGTATCACTTATATTACTTGTATATTATTTGTCAATCAAGAGACCCATTTCCCAATTATGCAACTGTATGTTTTCAGCCTTCCAGTTGCCATGCTCTTTCAATAAACCGTTAATTATTATTATCACACACACATCTTCAGCTTTCATGGGGTGAAGATGTCTATAATTGGCGCTGCCCGGCTAAGGCAACCATGGTCTTTTAGGCCATGGAGACAGCTGCCAGCCTGGTCTGTCAGGCCTTCCCCTTCCCCTCCTTCCCACCTGAATTTATCAACATCCTCCCTCCAACAATACAGTGCAAAGATTGACGCTCAACCCACAAGTGATATACAAATATGACAATTTCAATTCGAAAGAAAGATACAACCATTCGGAGTGACAATCAGTGCTCAGCGGTCAATGGTGACCTGACACACCCACCACCACCAACACTGGATGAGAAGCCAAGAAAGACTCCAAACTATATCAGGAGAGAAATGAGGACTCCATACTCCATCAAGGTGAGGAATTATGAATCCTTAACTATATCACATGAGGCACAAGAACCATCTCCATCACCGTGTGTGAGCTGAAGGACCTACCCTGACCACGTGGTGGGATGTACTGAACATCTGCAGGTGTAGTGAGGGAGCGGCTTAGCACCTAGGTATGACGTGATGGCCATCCAAACTGCGGGAAGGATTTTGTTGGCGCCTATATCAGGTCACAAGACTGTTTACAAGACCAACTCTCACAGTACCAGATCTATAGTAATGTATACTTTGACTATGTTTCTTATCCTTTTGTACTGAAAGCTCTTGTCAATCAAGTGACCCACTCCCCAGTTTCACCATATATAACTTATCATCTCTGTTTATTGTATATTTTTAGCCTTCTGGCTGCCATGTTATCTTAATAAACAGTTAATTATTATTGCAGACACAGACACACACAGATAACTAAAATAAACGAAGATGCAATGTTGCGACTGACAAGTGAAACTGTTACACAATGTCTGTCCTCTAACTTGTGTTAAAGTATATTATATAATGCTCACATTGTAAAGACAATTAATTCCTTCATGAAACAATGAAGATTAAATGTGGAACATGTAGTATTCTTGAAATTAGATGTGAGAATCTTGTGGCAGCCCTGGTTGTACAGTAGTTGCATTGCCAATTCATTAACATAATTTCTTCACTATTTAAACAAATATATGAACATTTTGAAAATTGTCATGATTTTAAATAAGATGAATAGTTTATTATAATAAAAATGCTACCTTTGAATTGCTTAATATTTATCCTGACAGTCATACAGCCAAATAGATCCACCAATCACAAACCCCATTACATACAGCCTTACTTCAAGTATTGCCAGGTAAAACTACGAGTACGAGAGGCAGGGTGAGGTCGATTGTATATTTATTGTACAGTGTATACACAATTATGTATGTACGGTCGAAGAAAAGTGTTACACCCCCTAGTGTTATGTTCCGTAACCTATAATGAAGAATTTGGGTATACTGACAGTGAAGGTGGAGACCTGAGTAAGAATGGGGAACTTTACCCAAATTCTTCATCATGGGTTTCAGAACATAAGGCGCTATAAGTGAAATGTGACTTTCTTTGACTGCACATTCATAAATAATAGATATACAGTACATGGTATATTTTAATTACGATGTAGATCCAATATATAATGGAAAATGATACTTGGTAAGAACATTACATTTGAATATTTATTATGAAATATAATTACAATGTACTGTAATAAATGTGCTAATCTTCATTGTATTTTCAACATTGTTTGCATTACAACTTACACACCAATATAGGCTAACCCACTCATACCCAGGATTATCAGTTACTATGTAATGTGTTGAAATAATTTAATTTTTGAGGATTATTATTTTTCAAATGACCAAACAGATCCTTCAAATAATGTTCGAAACTAAAATTATATAATAGAAAAATTACATTGAAAATAATGCATATTTTCCTTTGTAAATATTCCTGATAAAGCAAACCTACATTGCTGCCTGGAATTAACTATTCCTTGACTGTCAACAGGTGCTTGTGAACCATTTCCTCCTTGTTGATCAGGTGAGTAGTTTTGTTGACAAGAGCCATGAGGTGATGTAATGAATCTGACCAGCTGTTCAAGAGCTGGGAGTGTTCCGGCGTTGTTCCGAAGTTGACCACACCTTCTAATCTATCCATGCGGGCTATTACTGTTCCAGACACTACTAGTTGACACAAGAACTCTTCACTTTCCTGAAAAAAATAAAAATAAATAAAAATTATTCTACACTATCAAAAAAAGACAAAAAATATATGTGCCGTAGTGTGAAAAAAAAATACAATACAAAACCAAAGTAGGTAAAATAATGTGTAGTTAATAACAACCTTTATACTAAGCCTGAGAGGAAAACCTCAATGATTTGAGATAAATTCACCCCAAGAACTTCCTCTACAAGAGCCTACCCTGACCAATGGGTAGTAGTTTGAAGTAAGGACAATATCATATGTGCATCAATCGAGAGGTGAGTGCAAACCACTCACCAGGCGGTTAGTGAGGGTTGCTCTTAAACTATAAACCACCCAGCTTTAAAAAGGCACACAAGGTAAACAGAAAGCAGGACAAATCCCTTGGTGTGTCACAGGACTTAAACTGTCTACTCATAACTTAGGTCCTTAACTCTTTAGGTGCGTAATTAAATTTCGCGCCGGTTCCTGAAAAGTGTCAATTATCCTGCCAAAAATGAATTTCATATAATCACATTTTCTATATGTTTTTCCTAGAGAACTTTTAGTATATTTTCCAAATCTGGAACAAAAATTCACATATGTGTGCAAATTTTAGAGAACAAATGACATTTATACCCAAAAATGCAGGAAATTGGTATAAATCAATGTCTGGTATATGGCAAATAAATTTAATCAATTTGGTTACTAAACAGCAAATTTAGATATGTATTACATATTCAGATAATATCAAACAAAATAGTACAAAAATAAGCTATATTGCATTCAGGAAATACTCCTATACCTCAATACATAATATGTCCGCATGTCGTCTCATTTGGGGAAGTTTTTTCAAGGCCGTGGGATATCCCCGCTTGTCGCATTTAATTAATATAATATTTTGGGCGGGTTTACCCGCATGTCGCATCCAAAGGGTTAAAGATTAACCCACCAAGTGAAGGATCCAAAGACTCTTGACTGCCTCTCACCCATAGAATATGATTTCCAATTTCAATCTTTTACTTATGGCCTAAGTATCATTTGTTGAGAGACCTGTGAGATTTCAAATCAGCTGAGAAAGGGATGGAGGAGGCCAGTCAAGTCACAAATATTGAGTAAGCCACAAGGGGACATCAGCTCCCAAAACACCTAATAAACATGCCAGTGCCACAGTTATTAACTATTTAAGAGTGAGGTCCCTTAAAGTGGTCTGGAGTAATACAAGTTATAATAGCTCGAGTCTCATTAGAATTAATAAGGTAAGTAGAAAATATATTTATTTTGCCTCAAAACTGGTAAGAGAGACTTGGATCAAAATCCCTTCATTTACTGGATAGGCATCCAAGAACTTCTCAAAATGAATTATCGTTATTAAATATGACTAGGATAAAGTGTATGGCCAGTAATTATGAGTGCAGTTTTCTAAGCTGTCTGCCAGGACTAATATTAAGAAGCTCTTTCTATAAAAGTAAAGATTGAAGGAAGGCTATAAACTTTCATGATTATGGATAACAATATATAACTTTTCTCCTATTCATAAAAAGTTTTGAGAATCAAATCTAGTATTCAATAAGGTTCTGCTGATCTAAGTCATTTAACAACATGCCACCCAGGAGAAAAAAATTTATATCCAATGTTTTGAACATCCCTCTGTTGGTTGTCTGAAGGCAGACTCATCTAGCTATGAATGGATATTGCACTTCAAATTTAGCTACAGAAATCCAGGAAGTAAACCAGAGTTTTGTTCCCTAAAATAATTTTCTGTAAACTGTGTACAGTAATGTTCCAATTAAGCATTACAGGTAACTCGCATTTTACGCCCGTTTGATTTAAGCGTTTTTGGAATAACACGATTGTTCAATTAATACCAAAAGCTAATTTACACGCACCTATTTTTTAAATAGCGCACTCAAGACAGTTTAAATTTGCAGCGTGTATTTGCCTGGCAGTGGAGTCACGTGTGATGCCTGGTGAGGTGCTTGTAAGTTATTACCATAAAGTCGCAGTCATATCAACATCAACGATTTTAATAGTATTAAAAATAATAATTATTATAACTGTACAGTAACACAAAAGATGAAAAAATTGGAAATGAAAATACTGTAATAAACTTAGCATCAACCAACGACACATAAACATGTGGTGGTTAAAACATGGTCAAACTGGTCTCTCATATCAACCCAATTCCCATTTTCTAGCTAAAAATTACCCTAGATTAAAATACACAAGAATGAAATGCTATATGTTAAGGAATTCATACTGGATACTGACTATACTATAAGCACATTCAAAGCATTTATAAATGTACAAAGATAATACAGACTTCAGAAAATTAAGACTTAAACTTCAGTAATATGATATCCATAATAAATGTACAAAATTTAAAAATTTATATTTTAGGTACAGTACAGTTGTCCCTCAGACTATTATCTAAATTGGGCATCCAAAAGAGGTCAAGATTTAAGATAATTTGATTTGTGATGGATTAAAATAAACTTTGTATGGGATACGGTGCATTTATAGCCTAAAATATTTTATAACTTAAGATATATTGTTATGATATTAATAAGAAGACATAAAAGACTTACCTTCACAGAAAGATCAAGGAGTTCTGCCATCCTCTTCAGATGGATCCTGGTGTAGTACTTGGCCATCATCCTAATATTCTGAAATGTATGACAATTATATAAAATGAGGACAGGGAGGATTAAATCTTATTCATGTAAAAAAGTTAAGGTGAATGGGCTGTGAGGTCTCAGCATGTAAAACCTCCACAAATGCAAAGGTCAAAGCATCAATTTTTGTTTTGCAGGACTGCGAATGGGAGGAGATGAATCACCAGATTTCCCACTAATCTCCCTAAATGAATTCTGTATCAACAGAAACTTTACAGATGTGTGGTATACAACAAGAAGTAAACCACTTCAGGGTTTTGGCTCGGTGATCTCGAATGATCACTAGCTTTCGAAACAACCACTATTCCTGGAGTTCAAAGCCTTGCTACAACACTGGTTCACTGTGAGTGGAACTGTTTGAAACATTTAAATTAATGCAACTAGAGAGTATATTTGCTGCTGGAGAAAGTGAAGCCCTTGACAAGGGTAAGGCCATCAGGGGTGTTACAGTGAAGATATCCCACTTCACTATCTCCCTTCCTCAGCTATAAAATGAGATTTCATGTTTTAATCTTTAATTTTGGGGGTTGAGGGGTAGTGGCCTCTGATGTGTAGTGTATACCAGTATCTGTTGTCGAGTAAACCCCTGTATAGTAGAATCCCAGTTAACCGGCACCTGCAAGGATTGAGTGGTGCCGGATAAAGAGATTTCCTAGTCAAATGAACCTCACTCTTATGATCCCACAATAAATTCAACAATGCCCAGTGCTACAGGCTGACCTCACAGATTCATGTCTCAGTAAAATGAACTTCTTTACCACTTATTCCATTCTATAAACGATGTTCTTAGAGATAGAGAAGATATAATATAAAATTATAAATAAGAAAAATGAAGGGCATGGGTGTGTATGTGTGGGAACTGAATTTGTGTGGAGGTGGTGGACTATAACTACATCACCAACTCGCCAGCCCAGCCCCCCACGAATTTTATTACATGTAATGAAACGATAAAAGTTGTGAAAAAATCATTACAATACTCTAATGTGGTTAAGAAATAAAGAAAGTACTCGTATAATATAAAACTATAAGATAGGAAAAATGAAGAGTATGGTTCTGTATGAGTGTGGAGGTAGTGGGTTACTGGGCTATAACTAAGTGGCCGCGTTCCCTCTTCATATGACGTCACGGCACACACAGCCAGCACTGCAGTTGGGCCTGGATGAACTGTGTGATGTTGCCCATAGGATAGTTTGAGTGTGAAATTAATTTTTCTTGTACATAAAATATGTGCTACTGTATTTGATGATATGCCACTTATCAATTTTATTGTTTATTATGTCAATAAATATGGCAACTCATCCCTGTTGTGTGCAGTATTCAAATTTATGATTGTACTGTAGATAATTTGGGAGGAATTTTTATTTTTATAATTATTCTATTTTGGTGCCGGTTACCCAGACTCCGGATAACTGGGGTTTTACTGGATAAACTCATATGCTCTACTACACTGGTCATACACTAATATATACTTACGTGCTCTACTACACGGTTCTTGAGTTTTGTCCATCTGTCGTTGCCCTCTTCAGTACTGGGGAATACTGTAGTGGCAGTTGACCTCAGCTCTGCTTCATACACATCACACAGCCTTGACCATTTGATCAACTCAGCAGTTACAAACAACTGCAAGAGGTCTCTGAAAATTTTTAGAATTTCATATGAACTCCTTCAAATGAGTAAATTTTGCAAATTTTAAAAATCCCCAGTCTCAATTCAGTGCCTAACCCTTTAAAACCTTCCATAATCAAGGCCCTATCATATAAAGTGATCTAGAAATATTATTGACTATTTCAGGACCAACTTAACTTTCCAGCAATATTTACTAAATCACTAATTTTTTTTTACAGACCTGCAAGTTCCCTTCTGCTCCATTGTAAATTGGCCAGACCAAAGAGCAAGCATAAACAAACTCTCTTTTCATTTGCTTTCATCTATCTCTCTTATTGTTAAAATATACCCATATAACATTCATTGTCTTCCTCTCCTATAATTCACATACACAACTGCTTCCTGGTCATCCATCCCTCCACCTTCTTCATGATCTTCCTCTCTACCTCCCATCAACCATCTCTCAATTACACACTTTTCACCATCCTCAATATGCCAAGACTACCTTGGCAAAACCATCTCAGCACTGTCTGATACTTTGAATACTTCTACAGCATCTCTTAATTTCTGGATGCCTCATTTTTATCAAGTTTCTCAAGCATCTTAGCAAACTATACCTGACTCTGTAAACACTCTCACAGTACTGTTTTATACCCATGCTTCATATTCTCTATATTGTATTCCCTCAACATAATGTTCTCAAGCACAATATTTCCACTACAGTAATTCCAATTTGCTGCCTCATCTGGTAGTGAGCCAATACTCCACACTCTTTCAACCGTCCTGTACTACATTACTATCTTTACACGATGCAATACATTTCTATAATACTTATCAACTTGTTTCAGTTAATTTAAAACTCAATTCTTCACTTCCTACTTATATTGTGAAATATCTTCGAGTGTCTTGTCTTCCTTGATTCGATGAAGAAGGTCACTCTGTTCGTTGTCATAAGGGGCCAAAATTATAAAGAGGACCACATGCTTGAGTACTCTCTTCTTCTCTGTTTCACTCTCCTTCACACTTTTGGAGTCATAGATGGCTCGGTAGTGACGACATATACTCAGAAATGATCCATCGTGGCTGTCAAGATCAATCATCAAGCTGAAAAAAAAGAGTATGACACAATTACAGCATCTGAATACTGTATACAAGGATGTACATAATGGTGTTGTAAGATATCCTCCTCCTGCAATACTATAAGTACCACCCAACATAAATAAACCAAAATAATAAAACAATATACAGATCTATTCAAAGTCATCTTAGGTTTAAGTAATACAATGGCACTAAATTCATTTACAGTATATCAAATCATAATGGTATGTATTAGTGCATACATAAAAATTTTTTATGGACAGGTGGAAGGATGAGAAGATGGATGGAGGACAGAGCCTTCTGCACCTCCACTCTGCTGGTGACAGTGACAGTGGGACAGTACAGAAAAGAGAAAATATTGATCATATCATCCAAGAGTTTGTCAATTACATGTTTACCAGTTTCACATAATTAAAAAATTTCTCAGTTTTCACAATATTTGCCATGCCTATCATTAATTTCTAATTCTTATACAATGGCAGCTTTGCTCTCACTGTTGTAATATGTATTACCAGAGGTGAACCTAAGTTTCATGCCTGGAGGAGATGGGGGCTTAGGAGAAAATGTTTTTAAGATCTAATAAATGTAGGTGTCAAAGGCATGAACCATTAAATTAACATGAGTACAGAAATAAAATATGCTACTACAAATCATAAAGGGTAAAAAGACAACACAAATAATGAAATATGTATCATAAAGTTTCTTTAAATCATGACTTCAACATTACATTTTAAGAACTTGCAACATGGAAATATGGTAGCCAACATGGACCAAATTAAAAAGGTGACATGTTTTGTTTCATGTTTTCTGTAAATATGACCACCATATACAAAAAAACGAGCTGAAGCAAAGTTGAACCATTATGAACCAAGATTGCAGAGCAGATATGAAATTATTTATTACTTAATACCTTTGTGTAATACTGTAAAAACCCTGAGTGCCGGACTACCTGAGTAACGACACAAATCTTGGAAAAATTATTAAAAGATGTGAAAAAATTTCTTGCACTCATTATTGTTGTGGATCAGCTTATATTCACCAAAACACAATACACTGTAAATGTGCTTTAAGCAAAAATCTTATCAAAATGTGCTATAATATCATTACCTTTAACTTCATATAAATTTTTGGGTGGGGGGAGCAGAGGGGTAACAAAAAAGATATAAAATGCTGAACTTACTTATAGAATTTGAGCTTGAGGTCATCAACTTCTTCAGAATCAAAGAACTTTGTGCTGATCTTCTTTGAAATAATTTGAGTACGAACAAAGTCCTTCTTCAACAAACACAAACGCATCTGCTCCAGAATCATTTCAACCTGGTGAAAAAAATAAATATCCTCATTTAAAATCTCAAAATCAATTAAAGGTAATATTCATCTGCTAAAAAAATCAGGTACAGTAGAGTATATACTGTATAAACACAGGTTCTGATTCCTTTTAAATGGTAAGAAAATCCACATAAAATCCTTTAAACTACGTTATCTAATAATGAAATTTTACTGTGTTCAAACTCCCTCCATGCTTGCATTTTTGTTAAACAATCTAGTATGATTATTATCTGATTACCAAATAAAATATTATCACAGGGTTAAAACAGGGGCAGGTTCTAATTCAAGCCACACAGATTCAACTTTACCCAAAGATCAGCAACCTCACAATCACATTGTGTACTCGGTCTTCTCATTTAGTTTTCAAGATGATGCTAGAGAGGAATAAGAGAAAGCGAGGGGGGGGGGTGACTAGAGGCCTTCCCTCAGTAAAGATGCAAGTGATAATATTGTGATGATTAACCCAATTAAAGTGGCTGGTCTGAATTGTAGGTGTATCCATGGTGTGGCACTTTGGACACAACAAATTTCCCTTCCATTCACAGGGTTGGCATGATTTATATAAAATTATTTAAAATAGTGATTTAAATCAGCAATTTTTGACATGTTAAAGTGTCATAATTGAAAAAGTTTCATATTACATACAGTTTTAACTCCTCTACAACCTTCAAATTAATGACTAAAAAGAGCAGCTGTGGCTAGAAAATGAATAAGAAAGTATTTGAATTATGACAAATTTTGCAGTGAAGTGATTTAATTGTTTTCTGTCATATCAAATTATCTAAAGTACAGTACAGTATAGCTGCATTGGCCATTAATTTAATTTATCTCTGTAAACGTATGCTTCAAAACACACGAACAGATGAGTTCCGGCCAACACGTAAATATTTGTTTGTTCTTCATATCTTACCTAAATAATACTACTGCATAAGAACTTAAATTAAAACAGCTTTATTATTTGGTATGTTTTAGATTTTTGTGCATTTGTAACTTCATTAGGATAATTATGACATTTTTATATCTATGAGAGGATTTAAATCAGTGACTTGTCATACATCATTTATAACATGCTTTTTCCAACCCTCTTCATAAACGGCATGTTGTTTTTCTGTCATTTGATAACTTCATTATTTGACAATTTTATTTGTGGTATTAACTATTTTGGTGATATTCTCAGATGGATTTAAAGTGTTACATTTCATTAGATATGAATAACATGCTATCCTTGTTTCTACTAAAACCCTCTTCCATAAGCCCTGTTATTTCTATTACGGCATATTTTACAAGTATCAGCAGAACTCTGTAATTGCCATAAGTGGACCATTTTCCATATGTGGGGTGTCTGTACCAAATGGGTTAAAGGTTTAAAACACTGAAAATTGCCAGTCATTGAGTAGATAGATATTAAAAGTGTAGCTATGAGAAGGCAGAGTACAAACAATTCAATCTATTCTCTATAATCATCATCACCATCACTGGTTTATGGCCATTTATCACACTTAAGTTGGTTACCCATGAATACCAAATAGCAGCTACAGTATTTCAAGTCCCTGTTCAATTACTCCACTTAATAATAAATTTTGTAAAAAGAAATCAATCTGACCTTTTCTTTACGTTCCATTGAGCCAAAAGTTTCAACCTGTAGCTCCTGTAGGATAGTGGCAGCCTCAGTAATGTCTCCCTCAGCCTCCTTCATCACAGCCAACTTGTGGGTGAGCCGTGCACGCTCCACCTCCACATAAATCTTGCCCGCAGTAACTGTCCTGTTAACAATTTGCGAAATAATAAATATTTATTGTACGTCCATAAACTATACAGAGATTCGCCAATATATTGAGATAAACAAACATATTTATGCCAATAATTTGTCCAACATTTCCACAGAACTTAAAATTTCATTAAAGTTAGGGAGTTGAAGACAGTGAATGTGGTTAAAAGATTTGAATGACTAATCCAATGAAAATAGACACACTAAATTAAGGATAGTGATGAGAAGGGATGAAGAATAAGGGCAGTTTGAGAATATAATTCCAAATAAAGCAATGTAGATTTATGGTTGCAAGAAATTGGAAAAAGAAAAAAGAATGGAAGAATGAGAAGCTGTCTGGGCGATGACATACAGTACCTGTCAATGTCAACGTTTACTGTGCGTGACTGCAATAACCATCACAACTCTTACATAAAACCACAAAAGTCATATATGTTGTCAACTCATATATTTTCAATCTCTTATTTAAAAAAAAAAAACTGCAGAAAGGCTGAAACCAGAAAGAGGTTGGAGGCCATTGAAACATGATGTTTCAGGCAAATACTAAGAATAAGCTACAATGACAGGAAAGCAAATGAAGAAGTTTTAAGATTTACAAAAACTTCAAGAGAAATACTTGTACTATTGTACAGAAAAATAAAAATGAAATACTTTGGTCATATAATTAGGGCATGAGGGAATAATAGCAGAATATTAATGAGCAAAGTTGAGGGTAGGAGGGCCAGGGGAAGGCAGAGATTGGGATGGATGATTGAAAATAAAAATTGGGTTCCCATTGAGATACAGAGCCTCAGAAGATTGGAAACACAGCCTGAGAATGTTTAGAGTGGAGGACTGAAGTTGCCAACCTTCAGATATGAGGACGGTGCTCAGATTGATTTATATGATGCTAGGCAGATTTTGTCTGGCTGTCTTTCTATACATTTCTGACTTTTCTATGTACCTGGGCACCTTTCTGCCTGATGGCCTCATAAGGACTATATGAAATCAATCTCTCTCCTCAATGACTTACTCTGACAAAAGAGACTGCAAGAAACCATGTAATATGGAGAGCTGTCATCAGGTGACTGAGGCATAAAATTATGAACTGTTAAAGACAACAATGACCACAAAACTGGGGACGCGGTATAAGCCATTTTATGATATTAGGAGCAAAGATAGATAACAAACAGTAGAAATGACTAATGGAAAAACATTGCACCTAATATGAAAGAAGATTGGCGGTAGTAACACACAAGAGACCACGTTTATAAGAGTCTTGTTTACACAGTACAGTACATGAAACTGATGTAGCAACTATGAATTTGAGAAGATATTATGAAACTTTGGAAACTGTCCAAAGAGGAACACAGAACTCCAGTGTAAGAGCAGGAATTGTATCCCATAACATAAAATAAAGAATAATGAGATTCTTCCAACACAAGGTACAGTATAGCTGAACAAACCTTAATGTATCCATCAACTTGAGTTTAGCATCTTTGTCTGGTGCCTTGTCTACATAGTCACAGCATTTCTGAACCATCTTGGTGACAGCCATCTTGATCTGAGAACGCTTCTTAGTGAGTGTAACAACAGTTTCATTTAACAGATTCCATTCTCCGGCATCAAAACAAATCTCCACGACAGCCACGAGAACTCTGCTGGTAGAGTGAGCATCAGCCCCCTGAGGAGAGAAGATAATGAGTACGTAGGAATCAGCAATACCTAGCTGGCATCTATACGATTTGTATATTCTCATAACTCACATTGTAGCTACAAGGTATTTATTCTCGGCCATTACTGACAAACTACGTCAAAATTTCTATCTACTGTGCGTCAGTCTATTAACTTCTCTTCTCTGTCACCTTAGCATGGGATGGATAAAAAGCTACAGAAGTATCAAAGAATGGGAAAAATAATACAGAAGAGTGATGCAAGGTAAGTGTAAGCAATGCAAGTAGCATCTATTTTGATAAACAATATGTACCTCACATTCACAACTAACAAGGGCTAACCATGTACAGCACATCACCTATTTTTCAATACAGGCAGTCCCCGACTTACGACAGGGATACGTTCCTGGACCTTGATCATAAGTCAATTTGTTTGTAAGTCAGAACAGTGTTAATTCCATAATTTAGGTTAGGTTAAGACAGAACCCTGCCCATACAAAACAACAATAATATCCCATACATAACAAATAAAGTAAATATGCAGTACAGTGGTCCCTCGGTTAACGAGCACAAATCGTTCCAGAAGGTTGCTCGATAACCGAAAAATTCGTTAACCGAAACCATTGTTTCAATGGGTTTTTGGGTAATTGGTTCCAGCTCACCGAAAATTACATACAAACGAAAAATAAATGCAGTAAAGCACACTTACTTTGAGGTGTGCATGTAGAAGGCTCCTGGTTGATGATGATGGGAATTAGAATGGGGGTCGAGGAGAAGGGAGAACAGAAGGCATTGGGGTGGAAGAGAGGTCACCCCATGCGCCATTTCACCCATAAAATTTTAGTTCACTTGGTGTAATTCAAGATTATTTTCTTTAAATCAACACTGCACTGCATTATATATTGTCAATATGTAAAATAAATTTCAAAATAACCAATAATTTGACTGGAAACACAGAAAAAAAGCATTTATGTTGAAGAGAGTCTGAAGCAAGATGTTACCTCCACTGAAAAGACAGAGACTGACACCTATATGGTGTGCTGACAGGCTGTTTGGAGTGCTAAAAACTAGTTTCACTATACTTAAATTATGTTAAATAATTGTTAAAATGACTAAAAATTTTAATATAAGACTTTTAAAATTATTGAATAGTACAAACTTCTTGATATTTACTAAAATAGTATGGAATTTAAGCCCTAGAACCGATTACTGTATTGGCAGACAAATACGACAGCTAGTGTGCAAGCGAAAACATGTTGAGGGGCGCTCGTAAGGAATTCGTTAATCGAGGGAATGCTCGTTAACCGAAGTTAAGAATCTTATGGAAGGTAATTCGTTAACCGAAATTTCATTAACCGAGGCGCTCGTTAACCGAGGGATCACTGTACTGTACTGTAAATAAAGTGATGTTAAGCAAAATAGAACAACAAAAATAATGTACAAGTATTGGGAACCCATTTGTAAGTGTGGATGATCATAATTCAGGGACTGCCTGTAAATCTTTTGTACTTTCCCACCGAGTTATGATTATGGTGAGATAATGAAAGAAGAGACAACTGTTGGCCCCCCTTGATTACCACAACCAGGAACAACACAACTCAATAATGGTCAACAGAAAGTTTGACTGTCACATGGAAATGGTCAATGTACACTTTCTAAAAAATAACAAACTCCAATCATAACAGTAGCTAAGTAATGATTAAAGCAATGTCTTGTGTTTTCAAATGAGCAGGTGAAATTTCTGTGAAATGGGAAAATTTCTTCTCGTCACTACCCCAACTAATAAGTTGATAAAAATTTTTATTTCCACCCCTACTTAATGTTGCCACTTAAATGACCCATTTACAAACTGACAAACCTACAGATTTCTGGGCAATCCCTGAAACATTCTGTTCCACTGGTAGTCAAGTTGCTTCATTGCTTCATGTCAAAAGAACATTTGTTAATGAAAGTAGTTTCAATGTCCATTACAGTATAACTTTTGTTTTTACTAAAGAATATGGATAGGAATCTGTATTAATTATTACTCACAGTTCTTGTCTGTTTCTCCAGCACCATGAGGCTGTCCACTGCCTCTTGTACTCGACCGTCCTTAGCCATCTGTTGAGCCGCTGGTATCTTTTCATCACACGTGGTTGAATAATCAACCTCCATTTTAACAAGTCTTCCACCTTCAGATATTACATTACCCAATGTGCTGTCCTCAGTGCCTCCTGCCTCCACAGGCTTCTTTTCGGTTGGTTTCTTTTCTGACGACATGGTGGCTGCTGCATCAAGAGAGAACGTTTAGGGTCAGCACAACAAACAGGACTTACAGTACAGTAACAGTAACACAAAATATCATTTTGGGAAATCAAAGTCACATTAAATAATAGAAACATTGTTTATGTAGCTTTGATTTCCCAACTACACATTAATTTTGCTGCGATTCTTTCCACTGAACAATTCACATCGATCTTTCATGATAAATAATTGTAAATAAAGCACTTGTTACAAAACAAGAGCTTATTACAACAAAATGGATTAAGAAGAAATGAGGAAATAATCCTGAAATCTTATTTGGTAATTAGGTATGGATCAGGTAACCAATGTACCCGGTATGATACAGCATCAACAGACTGACAACAAAGAGTTCTTCTCAAAACCCAACTTGTGTGACCAAGACATTACAGAATAAATTCAGAAACAGTATCACTTCCAACTCAACCTTAGCCACTACAAGGGGAGGAGTTGGTCATTACAAACTTTATTTTGTATCTTATTGGTACAGTATACAGTACTGTATCAGTATTTATACAGTGCAGTAAAGACCACGAGTACCCAACTAAGTAAGCCACAGTGATGTCGTTACTTAGACAGAATCTGTTATTCAGATGTTCATATCAGCAGGGAGGCACAACTGTTCAAAACAACTCAATCACAGACTGGCTTATTTAAGATTATAATAAATTAGTTCAAGTAAAATAATCATACAGTACTTATGATATACTTTCAGGAAATTCAGATGTACAGTACTTATATAAAGTGTTAATAGATGTAGGTAAGGTTCGAGATTCTAGAAGCTTTCAGAGCTGCAAAGACTTTTGATGGTTGCGTTCCTGGAAACCCTAACATAAATGAGGAGCCTTTAATATGAGTTTCAATGGGATACATTCCTGGGATGTCCATCACAGACATGTATCACAGAAGAAGCTATCCTTTATTTATTAAATAAATAAAAAAATTTAACCAACACTCACAACATTAATACGTAATAACAAACCTCCTGCTGCCGCTTAACAATGTCTAACTTCATTTCCAGAGAGACAGTCTTCCTCAACTCGAAGCCTTGGCTTTCCTAGAGGCAGGAGACTCAGCAGGATGCTTGCTAGCCACTTTCGAAGTTATTAATCACTTCACAGTTATCAAAACAGAAAAAATTCAGAATGATAGTGTTTGCCTCTCACCAAAAATATCACAGCGATCACCGGTTATGCAAAGACAAATAATTATAACAATGGAAACAACAATGCACAGAACCTGACCTAACCAACCAAACCTACATAACTTTACCAAACTTCCTAACCGGGGGGCCTCCACTCATCGGACCCCCCCCCCCCACCGACATATTAAACGGAAATAACTTACTTTGATATCAGGTATACATATGAAAACAACTTTCTTGAAGTGGCATTGTGTAATTTTACATTTATCGGTTACTGCACAGATACATCTATTTCTTCTTTGCGGTGTTCTCTGCCACATTTTGAACACTTGCACCCCCGGCCAACTAGTCCATGTTGAAAGATGAACTCTGAGACGGTCTTCATCTTCCACAGGTACAGATAACTTGCGATACAATAAAGAAAAACCAGCACAGGCGTCATAACTACATAGTAAAATTCAAGATTGCTTCCTTGTATAGGAACATAAAAGTTCACTTTGAAACCAGTTATATTCCAAAGAATATGGAAAATTATCCAAACCTATAATATGGAATTTGAATCCAACTATATTAGCTATATGTGTCTCATCATTCATACATACAATATCGTGAAAAAAAAAATAAAGGGATTTGCACAGAGAATACAGAAACGAATCAGGAAAGTGAAGCTTATAACATGAAATAAAAAGGATGCTTATATGGTATGTGGTCTACCGAGCTGGAGTTGGTCTTCTGGGATATTTACACTGTAGCGTCCACTAACTTAACGTAGTGGACATTTTGCCGTGACCGGCCAAGTTCCTACTTATGCTATTTTACCGTGAGCGCGCTCTGTTTAATAGGAAGTTAGGTACATTTCTTTGGTTGGTTATGTTAGGTTCTATTAAGTTCTAGTAAATGTCTCCTCTTTTACAATGATAAATTTCCAACAGAAGTATTGTTACCTGGTATGTATGTTTACAGCTACACAAAGATCAACTCGCTGTGAAATAAATGCCAAATGCTGCCAGTCAAGGTCAAATATATTTCTTGCATTTTTCGCCAGTAATGGTAAAAGAGCATTAATAGGAACTTAGCTGGATCATGGCAAAATGAGCAAAACTAAAATAATACCTGAAATGACTGCCATATGATAATTTTTATGGTTTTACCCAGAAATTTCACTCATCTTTCATGTACTGTCCACTACAGATGGCCGTAAATAGTGAGAAAAAAAAAAGAAACTTAAAAATTAAAGAAAAATGTTGTATCGTTTTTATTAGTTGTCATCATCCCAACAACTGAAGAAAACATGAATTTTTTTATAGACCGTCTCCTCTATTTTTGCCAAACCCTATTTTCTATAGCAATTTCCATTCATGGCAACTTCGAAATATTTACCATTAAATAAACCGGTACTTGTTAAATTGTCTAAGTAAGCTGCCGAGAACTCCACAACACACTCGGTAAAGGCTCAACAAACATACATCCATCTCACTTGCCTTTGTTTAAACCTACACACTCTTTACCATCGGTTTATCACAAATAAACCATTAATGTAAAAGTAGAATAACTATTAACCTGTATGAGTAATTTAGAGAAAAGATAAGAGCAGTGTTACCTTAAGGACCGTCAGTGACACAACTCATGTAAACAAATGTTGCCGAGCCGCTCTACCCACACACACCCTCGACTTCTCACTCATTTCTCACTTCTTATACATCTCTTCTATAATATAGTTAATGAAATAAATTAATTTTTACTAATTTTGAATTGTGTTACTCTTATTAAAATATATTCCTTATAAAACTAAATATGAAATAAAGGAAGTCGATGGAACATTACAGATGTGGTGTTATAGATTATTTTTTTAAGAATTTTAGTTTGGTAGAAATATTTAGAAAAATAGAGTAATAAAAATATTATTAATATGTCTGTATAGTTATAATATATCAATTATCACTCAAGTTATAGAGTATATGAAAACGTAATCTCACTAATACAGAATACGGATCTAACAAATAAATAAACTGGTTCCTTCATGTCTATCTCTTGGCAACAGGTACACACAACCAATTATTCTGTCGCTATATAGAAAGGAAAATAGCTCTCTCCAGTGGGTGAACGTGTTCACTCCAGAGCCGTAACAACATAGCGCCCATATATCACCTTGTTGACCGAACTCTATCTACAGCTCTGGAGTGAACCAGAGCCTAAGATAGAGTTCGGTCAACTCGGTGACATGCGGGCGCTATGTTGTTACTCTATCTTAAGCTCTGCAGCTGGACTTACCTAATTTCTACCTAGCTACCTGACTACCTGCCCACTTACCTACCTATTTACCTACCTAACTACCTACCTACCTGCCTCTGCTTATCTTTCTATCAACTTACTTATCTTTCATACCTTTAGTTTAGTTTCCAATAAAAAATTAAAAAAGTATAACAGAAAACGTAAATAAACCTAGTTTTCTGTAATTAAAAGGGTGAACTACATTTTTATATTTATCCTCGCTACTTGTCGGGTCGTTAGCCGTTTGGTCGGTCGTCGGTCGGTCACATCTCTGTTACGGCCTGCTGATATTTTTTTTTCACGGGGAATATATCACCCTGGCACAGGTAATCGACCCGCAACGGGGCCTAGGGGGCGATAAAATAAGAGTAAAAAGAAATACAAAATATAAAGAAAGAGATTATATTAATCTACATCACAAAGATGCCGGAAAACCAGATTTTTGAAGTGAGACAGATTGTATGAGTATGGAAACACAGGAGGCAGAGCATTCCACAGTTTTGCTGTGTGAGGAAAGAAGGATGTACTATAACGGGTTATTCCAGCGTGACCGACATCCTGATTCCAGGATGTATCTGTACCTGCGCCAGTGTTGGTCAAGTCTGGTCTTGAATGAGCTCACACTAGGTGCCACCACAACAATCTCTGGAAGAATGTTCCAAGAGTTTACAATTCTCACTCCAAAAACGTTTGCTCTGATAATTTTCTGAACTTGTGGCTTCTTCATCTTTAAGCTGTGACCCCTCGTGGGGCGGGTATCCAGCAGCACATGGTATGAACACTCGACTGAGTAATGACCTCGGGAGTGTTAAATATAGACTTCTATTATGCCACCCCTTGTCGGCCTATAGTATACAGTAGTAATATGGGTGAGAGGAGTGAGAGAGAGAGAGAGAGAGAGAGAGAGAGAGAATGTTATGAAGAGAAACTTGGCTCCCTCATCAACGCCAAGTAGTGGAAGTTGTCGTAATAACATACTAACATTAGCATCTATATCAGGTTCGGGGAGTCACTTTACTGGCCTCTTATACGGCCATTATATATATACTTTAGTCTCTTTTGTATCGTATAGTGATTAATTATGCGATGAATTGTTTGGTTAGGTTAGGTGGTTATTTTCTTTAGGTTAATTTAGGTTTGATTAGGTATTATGACATGGTGTAGTGACTTATTGTGCTCACATTCCGAAGTATTTGACAATTTCTAATGTCATCGATTTTTCAAGGATACTTTTGAAAATCGTCTACGAGTACTTTTCCTGAGTGATTGACGAACTAACTAATTGAGGATTGACACTCGCTGACGTAATTTCTGACTTATTCTTGGTTACCCTTATTCAACTTGGCATGTTCTTTTCGCTATGTTTATTCCAAATATAATTAAATATATTCGTTGTTAGTGAGCTCCCTTTGTGAGACCAGTTAGCTCGCTTGGCTCACTCCTTGGCTTACTGCTCACCACTCCTCCTTCACCGCCGTGTCTTGGCTCACTGTCAGTTCCTGCACCGTCAAGAGGATGATCACAACAGCCATAAACTCAAGCTCATAAAACAACCATTTACCAAGCGTCAGACGTCGCCTCCTCTTCAGAAAGCGGACGAATTCTCCTCCAGAGGGAAGAAAGGATGGAGGGCAGTTGAGGGGAAGTTATGCAGCCTTGAAATCGACGCGTCTGCTGCCTTCCTCGAGCTGCAGCAACGACACCCATGAACGACAGGAAGCGTCGTAAAAGAAAGTGTGTTGCTTTCACCAGAGAGAGGGAGAGGCGGTACTGTGCTGTTGTGTTACTTTATGGGGACAACGATGACAAGAGTTTAACGGCACGGCGTGTAGTGTGCCGTAAAAAAAGAATAAATTAGCAGAAGGCAGGATCTACAGTATATAGTAGTGGTGGAGGTGGACAAGTTCATGAGTGACAGTGATGGCTGGAGTTGGGTAGACGTGAAACAGTAATCTATATTCTAAAATAATAACATTAATGATATTACAAAGGCTATCTCAAAAGTATCTGAAAGAATGAAAAACTTGGGAAGCTTTTCTCAACTACCCTCGAGCCTCATAATAGAAGTGATTACACAAACTGCATTAAATGGCTGGCGGGTGGAAACCTTTGAAATTATGTGAGAGTTAATGAAGTGAAGTTCGTTTCATGGTTAATTTAGGTAACGATGTAACCAACCCAACCACGTAAAGTGAAAAAACAAATCTGAACAAAAACAGATAGGTAGATAAATATGTATATAAACAGTACAGGTATACAGACAGTACATAGACAGTGCCGATATATAAAGAGTGTACATAGACAATGCAAGTATACAGTGTACATACACAGAGCAGTATATAGTGTACATAAACAGTGCAGGTATACAAACAGTGTACATAGACAGTACAGGTATACAAACAGTGTACAGAGATAGTACAGGTATACAAACAGTGTACAGAGATAGTACAGGTATACAAACAGTGTACAGAGATAGTACAGGTATACAAACAGTGTACAGAGATAGTACAGGTATACAAACAGTGTACAGAGATAGTACAGGTATACAAACAGTGTACAGAGATAGTACAGGTATACAAACGGTGTACATAGACAGTGCAGTATACAAACAGTGTACATAGACAGTGCACGTATACAAACAGTGTACATAGACAGTGCAGGTATACAAACGGTGTACATAGACAGTGCAGGTATACAAACAGTGTACATAGACAGTGCAGGTATACAAACAGTGTACAGAGACAGTGCAGGTATACAAACAGTGTACATAGACAGTGCAGGTATACAAACAGTGTGCAGAGACAGTACAGGTATACAAACAGTGTACATAGACAGTGCAGGTATATAAACAGTGTACAGAGACAGTGCAGGTATACAAACAGTGTACATAGACAGTGCAGGTATACAAACAGTGTGCAGAGACAGTACAGGTATACAAACAGTGTACAGAGATAGTGCAGGTATACAAACAGTGTACAGAGACAGTACAGGTATACAAACAGTGTACAGAGACAGTGCAGGTATACAAACAGTGTACATAGACAGTGCAGGTATACAAACAGTGTACATAGACAGTACAGGTATACAAACAGTGTACAGAGACAGTACAGGTATACAAACAGTGTACAGAGACAGTGCAGGTATACAAACAGTGTACATAGACAGTGCAGGTATACAAACAGTGTACAGAGACAGTGCAGGTATACAAACAGTGTACATAGACAGTGCAGGTATACAAACAGTGTACATAGACAGTACAGGTATACAAACGGTGTACATAGACAGTGCAGGTATACAAACAGTGTACATAACAGTGCAGGTATACAAACAGTGTACATAGACAGTACAGGTATACAAACAGTGTACATAGACAGTCAGGTATACAAACAGTGTACATAGACAGTGCAGGTATACAAACAGTGTACATAGACAGTCAGGTATACAAACAGTGTACATAGACAGTGCAGGTATACAAACAGTGTGTACAGAGATAGTACAGGTATACAAACAGTGTACATAGACAGTACAGGTATACAAACAGTGTACATAGATAGTACAGGTATACAAACAGTGTACAGAGATAGTACAGGTATACAAACAGTGTACAGAGACAGTGCAGGTATACAAACGGTGTACATAGACAGTTCAGGTATACAAACAGTGTACATAGACAGTTCAGGTATACAAACAGTGTACAGAGACAGTTCAGGTATACAAACAGTGTACATAGACAGTGCAGGTATACAAACGGTGTACAGAGATAGTACAGGTATACAAACAGTGTACATAGACAGTACAGGTATACAAACGGTGTACAGAGATAGTACAGGTATACAAACAGTGTACAGAGACAGTTCAGGTATACAAACAGTGTACATAGACAGTGCAGGTATACAAACGGTGTACAGAGATAGTACAGGTATACAAACAGTGTACATAGACAGTTCAGGTATACAAACAGTGTACATAGACAGTACAGGTATACAAACGGTGTACAGAGATAGTATAGGTATACAAACAGTGTACATAGACAGTTCAGGTATACAAACAGTGTACATAGACAGTGCAGGTATACAAACGGTGTACAGAGATAGTACAGGTATACAAACAGTGTACATAGACAGTGCAGGTATACAAACGGTGTACATAGACAGTACAGGTATACAAACATTGTACAGAGATAGTACAGGTATACAAACAGTGTACATAGACAGAACAGGTATACAAACAGTGTACAGAGACAGTGCAGGTATACAAACGGTGTACAGAGATAGTACAGGTATACAAACAGTGTACATAGACAGTACAGGTATACAAACAGTGTACAGAGACAGTGCAGGTATACAAACGGTGTACAGAGATAGTACAGGTATACAAACAGTGTACAGAGATAGTGCAGGTA